GTATTTTTTTCCGATTTCCAAAGTTCCTATTTATATAAAAAAAAAAATACATAATATTTAATATTAATATTATGCAAGGTTTGTGGGAAAAAATAACAATCGAAACTTTCAGAAATTAAAATCATATTATTTCAAAATCTAATATGTACTCCAGTCCAGTTTCATTGTAAAACAATAGAAAATGGAAACTTTCGAAATTCATAATGAAAAAGTATTATTCCGAAATCAAATTGAAGATGAAAAAGTATTGATCATAGAATTTGATCTTGTGAGAGGGTAACTTTATAAACTTGATCGGAGAAGCAATTTATATTTTTTTGCGGGTACACATAGAAAATTGACAAGTTTGTTAGCTACATCATTAACCAATATATAAAATTGAAAATTCAAGAAATAAGGGCAAAAGTACTTAAATTGTAAAGTCACTACATGTAGAACTAAAATATGACAATTGTAAGGACTAAATCATAAATATGTCAATATAGAGGACCAAAATTATAATTTTCCCCTTTTATATTATTATTTATTATTGTAATATCACCGTGACACGTGGCAGGGATAATGGATTGAACTTTCTCTCACTAGAATTAAAGAGAGATTAATATTTTGTCACATGTAATGTAAGATCTTCGTAAGTAAGAAAAGCATATATATATATATATATATATATATATATATATATATATATATATATATATATATATATATATATATATATATACAAATATATATATAGAGAGAGATAGAGGTCCAATCCACCCTATATATATATATATATATATATACACTCATTAATTTTCGAGCCTTTCTCTTTTCGTCTTTTCACTTTTATTTTGCAGGGAGCTGTGTGGATGAAAAATTAAATTGAGTTCAAAATCCAACATTTTTCAAATCAATCAACTGAAATAATTAATCAACTTTTCTCAATTTGCCAAACGGGCGTGCCCAATAATTCGAAACATATGTACAGCACTAAGCACTGTTTGTGTTATAATTCAGTTTTTTTTAAGCACATATTTTATATATGGGACCATAATGCTGTCTTGACTGGAGGCAACCTTTAATTTAAAGTTTTTTTTGGCTAATTAATTGTTTTTTATATAGTTTTATTTAATAAATTATAATTAATTTATTGTATTCCGTCACATTTAGGTTTCCTCTATTTTTATTAATTGGGTATTTATCCCCGTGCGTTACACCGCATCTGCGATGCACGGGGTTACGTTTCAAAAGTAAGAAAATAATGACTTAAATACGTGACATTGAAAATAGACGTATTTGAAGAAAATATTAGGATACACGTCGTCAATAACTAGAAGAGAAACGTAAAATTTTAAAAAAGTAATAGTAATTACAAAGATGTCATTAGGGTTGATTTGAGTTGTTGACTGTTTTTATAGGAAAATAAAAAATTATTACAAATTTGCCATGAATAAAAAAAGGAAAATAACAAAGAAAGTGAAATATCGTACCATTGAGATAGGAAAGTTTTTTTAAATAATATTAGAGAGAATTTTTTTTACAAAAATACCATTAAGGTTGCAAATTATTTAGTATACTATGCTAAAATATGTGCCATTTATACGATGATTTTTTTTAATTATTGAATTATATTATTTATTATCAATGTACTATTCTTTTCGCTTTTAATTAGTTGACTAGGGATGGTAGGAATTGGTTAATAGCATGTGAAAAATAGATATCTAACTATAATGTATTAATGAAGACATTTGTTATTCTCATTCAAGATGTGTGAATTTGTCATAGCCATTGAAACAAGCACTTGTTACATTAATTATTTAGTTTGTACTAGGTGTGTAAATTAATGAATGGAGTTGAATATATTATTTGTTTGAATATTCCACATAGTTATTAATTTAAATTGAGATTGAACAAGTTTGAATTGAACCAAACATTCATAAATTTTAAGTAATTTATCTTTATTTATATGCATATATCGTAATTTTATTTACTTTCCAGATCATGATGACTTCAATCGCGTTCTGGTTTATATTATGCTACATTGGATAACTTTCACCATTCATATGCACACAAACAAACATCTGCATTGGTGTGTGTAGATCAACAGTTTAGTCTTCATCGGATGTAGCATGTAAACAATCCTTCAGTTCTCATATCTTATTGAGCAAATAAACATACAGTCTGTTTTCGGACGAACTAACAAACAATTTTGTGTTGAATATCGAATAAATTTGACTTATTTTTTCATTATTTTAATTTTGAATTAGCAATGTATGTTTGAAGTTAAAGTAGTCAAATAAAAAAGACCCACAAAATCTACTAAAAAAAAATCAAGGCATAAAGATTAAATTAGGGAACAATATATATATATATATATATATAAAACAAAAGTGCAATATTAGGCTTTCTTGTAACGTTTGGAATGTTGTAAGCAAAATATGAATGACAAGAAACCAAAGAAAAGTGATTTATTACAAAAAGCAAATTGGCGATCATCAATCTGTAAAGTATAGGGGGTGGATGCCTCTACTTAGAAATTCTTTCCCTATTCCCAAGGATTTCATTATATGCTTCACTTTTCACAATTTAAATTTAAGGCTAAATTACGAAAAAAACCCCGAACTTATTACGAAAAACACTTTCACATACCGTAATCAAAAAAATCTTTTTTATCTTTGTTTCTATCTTATACCGATTCCCTTAAGGTGTGGTTGTTTATGTAATCTTTCTTGTTCTAGGAAATATTTTTCGAAAAATGCGGATATAACCCTGCAGATGTCGACAGATTGAAGGTAGCCAGACACATTGTTTAAAAATGTGTTCATATATGCTAAGATGGTTCATATTAGCAATCGAGGAAGTCTATTGTCATTGAAATGTGATGTTGAAGAAAAAATGTTATTGTAGAAGGTATACCAAGACGTTCTACATTTAAGAGGCTCCTCTTAGTGGTAGAATCCGTATTTTTTAAGAATATTTTTTTAAAAACAAAAAGAACACGTCAAAAATCATACATATAAGGGGTGGGTGTAAGACATAAACAAACATTGGCTTTGACATTTACGGATAGGTGGGTAATTTAGCCTAACTTCGAGGAGTTTTCGTAATTTACCCCAAATTTAAAGAAAAATTGAATAGAAAGGGTCCTTGTACCATTATTTCCAAGTAAAATATAAAAAGTGCATTTCTAGATTATTTTAAGTTTGGATTTATTTATTTATTTTAAATTCTTAATATTTCGATTTTCAACTATTCCCTACTTTTGTATCAAAATTGGTATGTATGAGATTCCAATTTTTTCGTTCTTATTTACATTTTCAAAAAAATCAATTTTAAATTATAATTATTATGTATATCAAAGGTGAGAATACAAAAACAAAATTTATGATTTTAGTCGGTTTTCCCAGTCCGAAAATTCTGTATTTGAAACAAATTTTTATTTCAACCTCCAAAGTTCCAATTTCCAATTTTTCCAAAACCTTTTAAAATAAAATTGAAATTAGTTTTGCACTTCCTTTTTTTTGGTGGAAGTTCTTATTAAAATACAAAATCAATTAGGAAAAAGAAAAACTGGAATTTTCAGAATTTGAAATGGAATTAAAAAAAATTAGAAAAAAGAAAATCAAATTGTAATCAGCAAAATTCGAAAAACTCCAACTCCAATTTTTCAAACCATGACCCAATCGCTAAAAACGCCTAACCCGGACCCAAATAACCCAATCACTATTAATCATAACCCGGCCCAAAACCCGAACCTGTACCAAATAAAAAAAGGGATCTTAACTAGGGATAAAATTAATTAGAACTAAATGACAATCTCAACTAAATGACAATCTCAACTAAATGATAAAATTAATTAGAACTAAATGACAATCTCAACTAAACATTTGCTTCACATTCTTTATAAAATTTATTCTGAAAATGCCCTTTCACTCATCTTTATTTTTTCAATTTTCACTCTAACATTTTCTACATTATTATAAACAGTTTTTTTCCTTATTTTTTATATTTTATTGGAAATTACGTGAAACAAAATTGTTAAATAATTCAGCAAATTTTAAAAATACTATGGTGCACTATGGTATACTATGGTGTACTATAAATTTTACACTATTATTAAAAAACAAATCCTACATGATATTGAAAATTACGAAAAAAAAAATTATTTTACGTTTTTGTTAATTCAAGCTACATATATTTTAATTTTTTTTTTTAATTTATTTGTTGTCAATACTGTAGTATACCATGTAGACTATGGTATAATACAGTATACTATAGTCTACTACGGTGTACTACCAAACCCTAGCAGCCAACAACACTCAATCTCGCCAACCCTAGTCGTAAACACAGCAGACGTCAAACCCTAAAAGCCAACACCGCCGACCACCACAGCCCCCAACACCGGCCCCTAACCGCAGCCCCCAACACCGCCGACCACCACAGCCCCCCAACACCGCCGACCACCGCAACCCCCAACACCGCCGACCACCGCAGCCCTCCAACACCGCCTCGACCACCACAAACCCCCAACACCGCCTCGACCACCACAACCCCTCGTCGTCGCCTCGACCACCACAACCCCTCGCCGGAAGATAAAGAGCGAGAGAGGGAGAGGGAGAGTGAGCGGCGAGAGGCGAGATAGAAAACAAAAAAAAATCTGAGAGGAAGAGGCGAGAGGGGGAGGGAGCGGCGAGATGCGAGAGAGAAAACAAAAAAAAATATAATTAATTGAATAAACGTGGAATATTATATTTTGGGTATAAGGGCAAACTAGAGATAAAATAAAAATTAGGGATGTGAGTCATATATTATTTCAAAATAGAAATTTAATTAAAAGATTGAATTTAAGGTTGCCATTTAGTTCAAATTAAGTTTGATTACCCATAAAAAAAAAAAAAAAAAAAAAAAAAAAAAAACCGTATCCGTATCTCTCCTCTCAAATATTATCCATTTCAAAAAATTAAATCGGTGGCACTCGAATGAAGCTCACTCTCGTTTCCGCTCAATCGCAAGTACCCCAAATTCCCTTTCAATTCCATTTTCGTATTTATTAATAATTATTCCCAAAATCTCTGATTTAAATTATCATAAAATCTGATTTAATTTTTTTTTTTTCGTGTTGAGATGGAATTTTCGTCCGGATCGAAGGATCGATTTCATTACAAATTGTTCGTTGATTTCAGGTGTTCGATGCTGGGCGTTTGCATGTTGCTTATATAATATACATATAGATATATAGATATATAGATGCATATTTGTGTATGTAACACATTTTCTTATTAATTTTTTTATATTTTTTTAATTGCAGGTGGATATGATAATAAAGAGTATATTCAGGAGATACGAGAGGTGGAATCCAGTGCATCCAACATCCGGAGCCTTTTGGGGGATTGGATTAGGGATTGGTTGCGGTGTAGGGTGGGGCCCGGGTTTTGGCCCCGAAGTAATCGGTTACGTCGGAGCCGGTTGCGGTGCCGGATTTAGCATCGGAATCACTTTCCTCGGCCTCGGCATTGGTCTTCCAGCCAATTACCTCTTACATGCCCCCCATAACGGTATATCTATCTGCATATGTGTGTATATGTGTATATGTGTATATGTGTATATATGCAGTTAAACCTCTATAAATTAATACAGTCGGACAAGAGAAATTTTATTAATTTAGCGAAATATTAAATTATCGAGTTAATAATTTAGCACGTTCTCACCAAGTTGGGATCAAAATAATTTATTATTTAAGCAAAGTTATTAATTTATCGAGGTTCTACTGTATCAAGTTCATCGTTGGCTCCGGAGCTGGGATTCTATGTTCGGGAGCCGAATGCATTATAGGAGGTGCCGTTAATGCTACTATACACAAAAAAAGTTATATGTCTATATAAAATAAAAAGGAATTGAGAAATGTTGGGGGGCCATGACCCCCTTTAGCCCTGTGTTGGCTCCGCCACTGATTAGTTCATATCATTTTTCACTTGTAAGCACACAAAATTTATAATCTTCTATAGTAGGTTGATCCAAGATCGAATTACAGTAAAATGATTTTCGTAAAATTGTAGTAATGATTGAATTGTTGTTAAATTTTTTTATTTTTATTTTTTTTACGTTGTAGCTTTTATGGTTACGAGTAGAGGTGCATTAGACGTTGCTCGAGGTAGAGGTTTACTTCGTGCAGGTGATAGCTGGGGTGAATTTGGATCTCGAGTCTCTGATATACGAACAAATCTATGCTCTTCGTTTTCCAGCTTCGAGATTGAAAGTTGGAAAATAGATTTGCGGGACATAAGAAGTATGTTGGTTGCGAATGCTAAGCATGTCAATGATCGTTTACAGAGACTCCGAGAGCACTTATTTACAAATAACGGTAATGCCACTAATAATTTACTACGACTAACGATTCTTGTTTCCCGTTTTCTCGAGTGAATTAACTGTAGTCGAATTGCAATGAATTGATCACATGAACAATGTATCACTCGTCTTTTTTTTTTCTCTTCCGAATTGGCTCGTGTTTTCGAGATTATTTTTTGGTTAAACGAAAAAATTATAGTTTTCTTCTGTGATCAAGACACGGGTGAATGACATTTGCGTTCTTGCAGGTCCGAAGAATTGACGAACATGGCGTGGATTGTAATATCGAGACTGATCCCGTGAGCTAAAATCCTCGTTTTTTTTCTTCTTCGTTTTTCTGTAATTATGAGAAGAAAAAAGGTATCTATCTTCTTCAATTTCTGATCTTGTTGAAGTAGTTTTCTGCAGATGATGTTATAATTGACTAATTGTAAATTTGTGTAATTACAGTTTCCAATTTTTGAGGTATCTGCAGTTATAGTGTAAGCCTCACTCAAAGCCTTAGCATTCTATATTTTTTATTTTTAAATATGTTCAAATAAATGAAGGGTTTAATTGGATGTAATTTACTTTAATAGATTAAATAAATTAATCATTTAAACCCGAGAGGAAAAAGAGAAGGGATTGAAAGGTAATAAAGATCATATTAAAATAAGAATAATGTGTAACACAAATGAATTTACTCGAGGTAATAGAGATCATATTCAATTTTCTATTGGACATCATCTAGTTTAATTGCACAATTGAATTTGCAGAGTTATATGTCTATAGAAATCAATCTTATTTAGTTGTAACAGTAACACAAAGAAATTAATGTGGTTCGGACACAAAAATGATCTACATACACGGGCACTTTCAAATAAGATTTTCAGATTTACAGTGTACCGTATTGTTTCTTCACGCAACTCCTCTATCCCCACTTTCTTGGATTTTATTTCATATCTTGGCCGATTTTCTCAAAAAACTCTACGTGAGAAATCTGATGTCAGCAAATTTTTTCCAAAATTTAATAACTTGGTAACTAATCATATTTTGACAACCAAACGAGCTCTAAAGTATGGTATTTACAATTACTACATTATTGTTAAAAAAAAATGAATTGTTTGTATTGTTTAAGTTATAAATTTAAACATTATATTTAGGGTGAATGGATAATGTCATGAAGGCTATAAAAACAACGGTGTAATTTTCATGGAGAAAGGACAGTAGAGAGAGAGAGAGAGAGAGAGAGAGAGAGAGAGAGAGAGAGGAGAGAGAGAAGTGCAGCCATTCACAAGCCACCAGTTCTCGGAAGAGCTTCTTCCGTTCCCCAGGTTTACCCCTTTTTCTCCTTCCTTCCCTCTTTTCTCTGCTTTGATTTTCGCTTTCGTTCAGCTCTAATTTACTGTAAAATCACTGAAATTTTGTCGAAAATGTTATTAAACCCTAATTATTCTGCGAGATCGTGAAATTAGACGGTGTAATTTGCCCCTTTTCAATTGGAAAAATGTTCGCACAATTCGCAGCGAATTTATTTAACTGAATTTGTTTGATTGGTGTTGAATTCATCGCACAAATTATCTTATCTATAAACTATAGCATTTTTTGCCTGAAGTTCTTATGTAGAGGTTAATTTTTTTTATATGAAGTTATGGAGACAAATTGCCAAAGCAATGGCATAATGTGGTTCTTCAAAGACAGAGGCTTCGACGATAAAAGCATACAAGAAATGTCGAAGAAATGCAAGCGCCTCGAAGACGTCAATCGAGAGAAAGCCTCCGAGAATTGGGATTACCTGAAAAGCATCGGCATACAAGAGAGAAAACTCCCAACAATACTCGGGAAATGCCCCAAAATCCTAACCCTCGATCTGCACGAGAAACTCGTGCCAATGGTCAACTGCCTCACATCACTCGAGACGAAACCTAAAGAAGTAGCTTCCGCCATAACGAAATTCCCACACATACTCCTTCACAGCCTCGAAGAGAAACTCTGCCCGCTTCTCGCGTTCTTCGAAGCTCTAGGCGCACCCGAGAAACAATTAGGCAAAATGATACTCTTAAACCCTAGAATCGTTAGTTACAGCATCGAAACAAAGCTTTCGAAGATAGTTGACTTTCTTGCTGACATGGGTTTGACCAAAGATGGGGGTGCGATCGGTAGAGTTATGGTGAAGCATCCGTTCATTATGGGTTATAGTGTCGAAAAACGGCTTCGCCCCACTTTGGAGTTTTTGAAGTCGTTGGGTTTAACGGAAAATCAGTTAAAAGGGGTGGCGATGAACTTTCCGGAAGTTTTGTGTAGGGATGTGGAGAAAATTCTTAAACCAAACGCCGAGTACCTTAAATCGTGTGGGTTTGATTCTGGACAGGTGGCGGCTTTGGTGGGCGGTTATCCACCGGTTTTGATTAAGAGTGCGAGTAATTCTTTAGGGCCGAGGATTCGGTTCTTGAAAGAGGTGATGGGAAGGGGAATCGATGAGGTGGCTGAATATCCGGATTTCTTTAGGCATGGTTTGAAGAAGAGATTGGAGTCGAGGCAGAAAATGTTGAAACGGAAAGATGTACGTTGTAGCTTGAGCGAAATGTTCGACTGTAACCACGGGAAGTTTCTGTTGAAATTCAGTATCGTCTAGTAATCTTTTTCGAGTTTTTTTTGAAATTTATTTATTGTTGTTCTCTGGGTTAGATTTGATTTGAGTATTGTTTTGGCAGAACTAAGTTCAATGAGAGATGGAGTAGGAGGCAGAGTTGTTAAACTTTGTAATGTGTATTACTCTAGATTGATGAGGTACAGCAATGTTTGTAAGCACTTGTTTAAAGTTTTTTTCTTTTTATTATTTAAAGTTTGTCAATTAAATATCTGTAAATATATATATTTAAAAACTATTGATTTTATTTTCAAGAAGAAAAATCCAAGAATTGGTGCTTGTATATATAGTGTCAAATGGTGTATAAAATTTAGGGTAAATTACATCCACACGCCTGAGATATGGTCAAATTACGAAAAAACCTCTTTCATTTTGAATAATTACAACCGTCCCTTCAACTATGAATTGTGCATCCTTACGGTGTCAAATTTAACGAAATCTTCTAGATTATATGCAACATTCTCTAGCTTATACCTATTTTACCCCATCCAACTCCACATTTTAAAACAAGATAATCATAAAATGAAGTTTTTGACTCATAAATATCATATTTTTATGCATCTAAAACTGCCCTTTCGTATAAAACCGGTACAAACTTGAGAATATTCCACATAATCTAGAAGATTATTTTAAATTTGACGCCGTAAAAATGAACGTGTAACACAACTCGTAATTGAGAAGTGATTGTAATTAATTACCCAAAAATAAAGGGTGTTTTCGTAATTGACGTTACCTCAGGGTGTGAGGTGGCCGTAATTTACCTTAAAATTTAACAGCATATACATATAGTGGAATAAGCAAAAAAGTGATTTAGAGTACATTTATTCAAGAACCAGAATTCAAACAAAGCATCAATCCAACAACACAACATAAGCAGTTTCACTTGAGAGAAAATTGCTGAAAACAAATGACAGACAAATCAAAACATCACAAGTCACACACTTATTACAGTACACAAACCTCGTACAACAAATCACAGCATAACCGTTCTTTCTTCAAATACACGAATCAACAAGCAGCAAAGTCCGATTTGACTTCAAGTTTTTTCTAATCATCTATCCACCTTCAATCATCTGTGAATCAACATCACAGAAAGTTCCGTATTAGTACACCAATTGCAAAACACTTCCTCGTATTATAAATATTTATTAAAAAAAACCATATGCTGCATTTTTTTTTCGTGAACACCCCCCTAAATGGTGAGTTTCTTCTAGGGAGAAGTTTGCTAAAAAGAAATTGCATGATAGGGTTTTTATTTTGCTAATGGTTACGAGGGGAATTCTTTAAACAATTAGAGTAAACTACCCTTTTTATTAGCATAAACCCTAAAACAGTGAGGATCCAAAGGGTACCACCATTCGTCTTTGATTTTCGATCATGCTAGGGATTATGCTAACAAACATAAACAAAAGACACATTTTTTCGACAATCGGCATAAATACAGGGGGAGGGGGTGGAAATTGGAAAGAAATATCCAATTCCGATCCAAATTTCTCCAATTTCGGAACAATATTTTTCATTCCAAATTCTGACAATCCAAATCCGATTTTTTTCCAATTTTCTTTTTTTTTTTATCGGAATTGGAATATATATATTTCCGATTTTTATTTTATTTTACAAAAATCCAAATCCGAGAAAAAAAATTCAAATATTTACTAACCGTTAGCAGAGTAAGCACTCCTCGAAGAGAAACTAGAAGAGGCACTAGGAATCGAGATAGAGAGCTGAGTAGACGAAAACACACTCGGATTAGATCCTTCTTCGTCGAGATTCGACTGAGATTCCTTAGTTGTGGGCCACTCACTGAAGAAAAGATGCACAGGTTGTTGTTGCTGATTCTCCTGTTTCATTCCTATCCCGTTATTATCACTCCCGAAGAAGCAATGCTGCTGCTGGTTTGGTTTCGAGAAGTTGATATCAGTGGAGTGGAAGCCACGAGGCGGCATAGTTTGTGGAGCAGGGGAGTAATGGTGGTCCAGCAGCGGAGGATCGGATCTCTGCTTGAAAAGGGAGCTCGACGAATACTGAGAAGGCGTCAGACGCCATGTGCTGCTGCTGCTGCCTGCAGATGAACCTAATCCCATGCTTCTAGAAGCTTCCGGAGAGAAACTACTGTCGTCCGCATCAGTAGCCAGTCCATGAATGTACCTACATAAGCAATGTAAGTTCGAGATCGAGATAAAATCCAGCTCCACAAATAAGAGAAACGATATTTCGTGTAATATAGTAAATATATTTATATAGCCGAAGTCGGTTTAATTGAATTTGTATAGTATAGAGCATTAAATGCAATAATTGCGATATCGATCACATCTTATCTAATTAACCATACTAAATCCGTATTTCGACTTATTAGAAACCCTAAAATTCCTCGACCTTCATTCTTTCATAACTACTGCGAAGCTTTAGTTTCTACCTACATCTCTATGAATCAAACACATTCATTTACAAACAAAAGACGAAAGTAGAAAAGTGGTATCATCTCGTTTTCCCAGTCTTTCCGATAATTTAATTAACCAAGCAAGGCCTTATACGATTAAGATTAAGCTAAAACCGAAAATACCTGAAGTCCTTATTATCCATCGCAGCATAGGCATTAGTTTCCATTTGCAGCTTCTTCACACTGCTCTCGAAAGTCAGTCCTTCCGAACGAACAGCAGAGTACAACGGCTGCATGTCTTGGAAGCTTCCGCCACCATTGCTTAAGAAGCTACCGTTGTTGTTGTTGTTGTTACTAGTTGAGATGTTCGACATTGCAGTCGAAAAGGGCTGAGAAGTAGTGTTAGATTGGGTTGATTCCACAGGCTTTCTTGAACGGTTGCGACCTCTGTGCATGTGTCGCTCGCAGTATTTCGAGTCCGAGTGTGCGTCTTTCGAGCACCTCCATTTTTTCCCGTCGGTTCTCCGGCATCTTCCTGGCTCCGGATCGAATTTCTTCCCATAATACGAACAATAGCCCACTGCAAAACCGGTTTTTTTTTTATCCTAAGTTAGATAGTATAAATGTATATCTCGATTCTTGATCACACAAACGTCGAAACACATTTATTTTGAACCGTTGAACATTTTTTAAAACACTGAAAATCATCTGTTTTGATAGAAGTACCCTACTCCCTTTGTTTTCAAAAAAGGTAAATACATACGGATTAAGAAACCTAATAAATGGACTCCTTTTTAATGGAAAAGCCCCAAATTGCCCTTTTTGCAAACCTATTAAATGAGTTTTTAGTTGTACAAATTAATGAGCTTGAACAATCAACGATAAAGGGCAAAATTGGTATAAAAAAATAGTATGCCTTGAAATTCAAAAGTGACACCTAATACGGAAAAAAAGAAATAGTAGCACTTATATTGAAACGGAGGGAGTAACGCTGCTCCCGTTACCTAAAAAAGATCTTTTCTTGACAGGACTCGATCAATTACTCATCATCTCTTTATGAATGCATGTATTTAAATGATTGCAAACACATAAATAAATAATAAAAAAAGGTGAGATAATTACTGGCGGGGTGGTTGAAGAAGCGGGCGGAGAGTGCTTCTAAGCTACGACGAATGGGCATAACAAGATCCGGTGGGACCGGCATGCCAGCGACCAAGTACTTGTATATCATGGCTTGCTGCTCAAGCTCTTGCCACTGCATTGCTGTGAACGGGGGCGTAAACCCCCCGTACCCCATTTCACCCCCTCCCACTCCCACAGCCATCACTGGTGCTGCTGTTCCACTCATCTTTCCCTTCTCGAACGAAAACTAATCGGCAATATCTATTTTTTTTTTTTCGCTTTTTCAAGAATCTGCACCCACAATTTTGAAACATTATCGCAGTTAGCAAAGATACATCCGTAACAAACAAAATGAACAAATTTGAGCCCATTTCTTATTTCTCACATTCCTTTTTTTTTTTTTTTTTCTATTTTCCCCCTTTTCTAGGAAATGGGGGAAAGTAGGGTTCAAGATGAGATTTTTCTCACTACCCACAAAAGCTGCTGTCAAACAGCTCACTTAAAAATAACTTGCACACAAACTCAAATGCATGTTAAGTGTTTGTTAAAAAGCCGCAGTGAAAAAAAAAAAAGCTCAACAGGAAGAAAAACATCATGAAATAAAAAAGAAAAAAAACACATCGACAAACTTGCAGTGTTAATTGAAAGAAGAGGGGCAGAGTGTGTCTTTTTACCAATAGGGTGGGGGGGGGGGGGGGGACACAGATCTAGGGTTTCGCCATAAATGGAAGGTTTTCTGACCTCAGAGAGCAGAGAATCCGTTAAAAACAGAAAAGCTGGTTGCGAGGAGTGAGAGACACAACACTGAGGAATGTTTCAAGTACACTGAGACAATCTGCCGAAGAATCTGGAGACTACTTATACTTACTGGTAATGAGTGATGGCTGCTGTCTTAATTAACAGTACATAAACGGAGGCATTTTTTTTTTCTTAGGCTGGAAAAAGGGGGGTTTTTTATTTTCGGCGTGCGGGGGCGGAGGAGGCAGCCTGAGGTAGCGGTCGGGGGAGAGGGTGGTGGGGTGGTGGTGGTGGGGCGGTGGTCCAAAGATGATGTTAACACTTCATGTGATTTTGTACGATGACTACTGTGTAGTGTGCTAAGCTTTGTCCTTAAGTTTGTGGGTTTTGATTCCAAGTGGTGAAGAAACAAAATATCTCTCTCTCTCTCCTCTCTCTCTCTCCTCTCTTTCTCTTCTTACCCTTCACTTGTATCAAGAAATATCATAAGTTTTTTGGTTAAATTACAACCACCCCTGAGGTATGGTTTAACTTCAAAAACCCCACTCTTGTTTGGGTAATTACGGCCGCCGCCCCCTCAACTATAAATCTTCTTACTCGTTCACTCTTGCGATTTCAAATTTAGTGGAATCATTGAGATCATATGGAATATTATCACTTTTGTACCCGTTTTATCCCATTTGAACTCTACATTTAGAAGCAAGATGCTCATAATATGTGTTTTTCTGCTTGTATATATCAAATTATGGTGCATCAAAAGCTATATTTTTACACAAAACGAGTCCAAACTAGAGCACATTCCACGGAATCTAGATGATTATGTTGAATTTGACACCATAAGGGTGGAGGTGTAAGAAAAAATCATAGTGAAGGGGTAGATGTAATTATTATTCAAACAAGAGGGGTTTTTTCATAAATTGACCATACCACAGGGGTGGTTGTAATTTACCCAAAGTTTTTTGAGTAATTATGAATAAGCCACTTAGGTGTGTCTAAATTACCAAACACTCCCTCTAATTTGTGAATTTTCAAAGAGATACCATCGTCTAGTAATTTCTCCCTTAGAACCCCCATTTGAATAAACTTATTTTAAATAGCTGATAAACTCTTACGTGTTGATAAGTCGTTTTAAGAGCCAGTAAAAAGAAATTGAAGTGTATGGATAATAAGCTGGTATGTTCTTTCTGCGGTTTTTAAGATCTTAAAAGAAAATTGGGGTGAGTATTTTTTTATCAAAGAACTTAAAAGTTCTCCAATAGCTTATTTTTTGAAGTTTCAAGATGTTTTTGAGAGAAAATACCAAGAACTTTGGAAGAGTTTATAAGCTCTCGAGTCAACTCTAAACCACACTTTAATGAACCCCTTGAATTATGTCTAAATTACGAAACACTCCTTATAATTTGTGAAATCAAATAGATATACTATTGTCTAGTAATTTCTTCCTTCGACATTCGATTTTAAACAACCGTCTGCTTACGTTTGATGTATGTCTAAATTACGAAACACTCCCTCTAATTTGTGAAATCACAAAGTTGGACGATTTCTTCATTAATTGCAACAATCAACTCTAAACCACCGTCTATTACCTCTGAATAGAGTATGTCTAAATTACAAAACAACTCCCTGTAATTTGTGAAATTACAAAGATATACCATTGTCTAGTAAATTTTCTCCAAGGACATAAACTCTAATAGAATCTTTTAGATTCAAAAAATATTCATTCAAATATTTAAATTTTAACTTTACAACTTTAAGTGGGCACGTAATTGTCAGATTCTCAATTTATTTATTATTGTTCATTTATAAATATTAAATGATCCATTCTTAGGGTATCTAAAACCGACCCATTCTTAGGGTATTTAAAGTGCAAAATTGTCGATGTCCCGCAAGAAATAGTCTAGTGGTTAGAGATTGATCTTATTGTAAATTTTCTTGTCAACTATAGCTGGATGGAGCTTGTTGGAGATTGATCTAATTTTAACATTCAAATAATATATAAAAGAAGTCAAACTCAAAAACTCGAAACATAAATTTATAAATCTCTCCGTACTATTTTTAATTTATGATTCTTATTTCATATTCTTCATTATATATTTACATACAGTAGAAGTTTAATAAAATAAATAAATAAACTCTTAATTTTGAAGTTAAGATTTTAGCTATGTAAGTTTTTCCAAATATGTTCTGAAAAAACTTTTTAAAACATCTTATTATTGTAAAATAAACAAATAATATATTTTTTACTAAATAGATGATCGATAATACTACCAACCGACTTATTATTTACCCGACAAAGTCGGTTACCCACCTTTATTCAAACCATAAGGGTCTGGTCGGCAATGGTTTTCAATATTAAACAAAATAGAGTGGTCGGATTGGATAAGTAATTAGCCGATAATTACCCGGTCCAACCCATTACCATCCCAACACTACACTATTTTCATGATTTTTTATCTAATTATATAAGGGATTTGCTTTTTACCGTTTGAAAAAGGCTATTTACCGTTCAAAAAAACTCTCTCTCTCTCTCTAAAAAAAATTGCTCTCAAGACAATTTCTTCACAAATCATTCTTATTGGTGTGATATACGAACATAAATGAATTTATCGAATGAAGATCGGGATAGCGAACACAGCGAGGTAAAAATTCCGTCTTTTCGATCGAAAAAACTGGGCTAAACATTCAAAAGCCCAACTTGGGCGCCCGACAGTGCAGTGCACGCCCATGTTGGGCGTGCAGTTGGCTGTTACACGCGGACCTTGAGTATTTGGTAACACTTGCACGCCCAACATGGGCGTGCACTGCACTGCCGGGCGCCCGACTTGGGCTTTTGAATTTTAAACCTTTTTTTTTTTTTTTTTTAAATCAATTTTTTTATGTTTTTTTCAGGACGATACGACTACATTTGAAGTTGATCATACCGATTATTTTACCACTACTCAGTTGTTTGACTCAAAGGATGAGGTAGTGGTTTGGGTGAGGTTCGTTGCAAGAGGTCTTTTTGTGAAAATAGTAAAAAGAAGCAGTCCTAAAAAAAAGATTTTTTTGACTTGTGACCTATTCGGGGAAAAACGAGAATGTCCATCAACTAATCCAGAAGCGCGCCCGAGAAGGACCGGTAGCAAAAAGATAGGCTGTGGTTTTTATATTGTCGGAGAGCTACGATGGGATGATAAATGGGAGGTCAGAGTAATATACGGGAAGCATAATCATGTTCCGATATACAAGTCCGGGCATGGGATGAGTGCATTGTCTCAGGAGGAGGCGAAGATCATTAGTGATCTGTCACAAAGTCATGTGCCGCCCAAGAAGATTTTGGCTAACTTGAGACAAAATGGTTTGGGCCTCGATGCTTATTCAAAACAAATATACAATCAGAAGGCGAAATTGAAAAGACTATCTAGGGGTGACCGTACAGTGATGCAACATTTGATTGGGTTGCTTGAGGAGCATAACTATTACAAGTGGTTCCGCACTGATGAAACTACACATGCAGTTACTGATTTGATGTGGGCTCACCCTCAATCTGTGGAATTGTTAAGTAAGTTTCCGTACGTATTACTACTTGACAGTACTTACAAAACAAATCAGTACAAATTGCCTTTGTTGGAGATTGTTGGTGTTACTCCTGTCGGGAAAAATTTTACTGTTGCAGTCGCATTTTTGCGCCATGAAAATGAAGACCATTACACATGGGTGTTGCAAAAGCTGAAGAGACTTTTCCCCCCTCAGACTCTACCTAGTGCCATCGTGACGGATCGAGAGTTAGGGCTCATAAAGGCGCTAGAGAATGTATTTCCGACCGTACCTCATCTCTTATGTCTTTGGCACATTAACATGAATGTGGGGCGTCGTGCTTCAAGATGTCTCGGCAATAGTAGGCGTCGCGGCACGGCTTTTGTAGTTGGCGTGTGGCAAACTTTGGTAAAATCAGTGTCTGAAGAAGATTTCGCCAGGAATTACACAGCTTTGACGGACGAGTACGCGAATTATCCAGATTTGATTGAGTATCTCCAATACACTTGGCTCGTATACAAAGAGAAATTTGTAAAAGCATGGACGGATCTAATTTTCCATTTGGGTAATACATCGACAAGCAGGTATTTATTTATAAGTGGTTAAATACATATACTTAACTTACTGTCATGTAGTTTATTGAAACATAGCATATTCTAAACATATTAGGGTGGAGAGCAACCATAGAGCATTGAAGAGATGGTTGGAATCGTCCACGGGTGGCTTCGACACATTTTGGGCACAGTATCACTCAATGATGAAAGATCAATTTAACGAGATACTAGCCGATTTTGCAAAATCAAAGAGGATTCGGGCCCAGACGATCAACGTGCCCGTATTTAAAATATTGTCCAGTGGAATTGTAACACATAATGCTCTGCAGATGTTGGACGATGAGAAGGATGAAGACATAGACGGTTGCGTCTGTTATATGAGGAAATGTCTTGGACTCCCATGCAGACATGAAATTCGTGCAAAGATGAATGCACGACGTGGTGTGTTTTATGCAGAGGATGTCCACATTTTTTGGAGGACATTTATTTCGGGATTCGGGGATTCCCTAGATGAAAGTGTTGGTTCTGTTCCCGACCACAGGTCACAGGCTATTGGCAGGCTAGAAGGGTTAATGAATGATTTGCGTGAGCGGTCAGAAATTGAGATCACGGACGTGACAGATGTCATTTTTGAACGAATGCATCCCGGGGCCATGGAAATGAATGCGCCACAAGTACTAGACTGCCCGAGAGGTAGACCGCGGACGAACTCTACACAGAGGGATTGGTCAGGGCATGAGTTTCCATTATTTCCGGGAGAAGGTGAAGAGTCTGGACGAGGGCGAGGACGAGGACGAGGACGATCACGAGGCAACAGAGGGCGTGGTTCATCTTCTGAGAGATCTAGCCGTGGTCGCGCTCGTTCATCGACCGTGAGTGGACCCGCAATAGGTCAAATTCCCCGACCCCCTTGGATGCGACAACTTCATTTCTGCCTTGTTCCGGAGGTTGTGACGTGGATGGACGTTCAAGGGGATGGTAATTGTGGTTATCGAAGCGTCGCGTGTGCAGTGAAGAACCACGAGGATGATTGGATGGATGTTAGAATGGATGTTTATAACTGTATTAAAACACACGAAGAGTTCTTCAAGGATTATTTCGGTGGTGGTAATTTAGTGTATCGGGTATTGGCGAGTGTCGCTTATTGGGACAACGCCCCAGCACCCTATGAGAAGTGGATGACTATCACGGACGTGGGCGTGGTTGTGGCAACATATTACAACGCGTTGGTCTTGTCGGCTAGCAGCTTGGGCAATCAGACTTATTTACCACTTTGGGCTCCCGAAGGTGTTTCACAGTTATCTTACGAGATGACTATACTATTTCTTGAATCAGGAAGCCACTTTGTGTATGTGAAGATGAATGACAATTGTCCGCTTCCTCCGTTTGATAGACAGTGGGCGAGGTATAGCAACAATAGTGTTGCATATCTACCAGAGGCGTTGCGGAGTCGACGTGAAATGTGGGATATTCTTAATAGTGTTTGATTTAGTTTTGTTTATTTTGTTGGAATGAATGTGTTACTATTGACATTGTATGTTATTATTATTATTATGTTATGATGTTATAATAATAATAATAATAATAATTATTAACCTAATAATAATAATAATAATAATAATTAAAAAACGAAAATCAGGTCCTGAACACTAATAAACGGAAATCAGGTTATGGTTACAACATATTTTATTAAACATAAATTTAGCTTAAAAAACGAAAATCAGGTCCTGAACACCTAAGTATCCCTCGTCCTACGCCTGCGGTGAGAATGTCGCCCTTGTGAGGGTCTTTTAAACTTACGAAAACTCCCAATTACATAATACGACAATCACTACTTTAATAAATCGAACATGCATATAAAAACGAACGCAATTAATTGCGCAACGAGCTCTGATACCACTGTTGGGTTTCGGGCACGCGTACGCAGCGGAAAACAAAAATTTTACGTGATTTAAACCACTTTAAAGCACACAAGTACATGCCCGACAAATTAAATCAATTAATTGCGTACCTTTGCGCTTCCAGCGAAATTAAAAACAACATACATGCTAATAAATTTAACCGAATTTAAATCAATTAACATGCTCGCAATTTAAACCAAATAACATGCTCGCAACGATTTAATCGATTACACATAATCACATAAAATCATACAAACACAAGCATGAAATCATAGTTTAAATTAAACCCTAAAACAAAACTAGGGTTTCGAGTATTTACCTCTTGACGCGTGAGGTAGGAGCGAACGATTCGTCGTGATTACTACGGAAACCAATCCGTAGAATCGGGGCAGCAATGGAGCAGCAGCAGCGGCGGTGTGGCAGCTCACGGCGGCGCGTGTACAGCACGCGCGGTTGTGCGAGGCAGCGCGTGGGGCAGCGTGCGGCTTCGGCTCGTGCGTTGCTCCTCGATTCTTCGATCTACGGTCTTCCTCCTCTCGGATTTCACCTCGTATACTTCGATCTACTAAATCGTGGCACTAGACACGAAGTAGTTAGAATAAAACGGAAAGAAAATAAAGGAGAAAGAATACCGAACAAAAGCCGGCCGAGGAACGGCCGTTTCCGGCGACGGAGCGGCGGTGGTGGCGCGGTGGTGGCCGCGCGGAAGAGAGGCCGAGAGAGAGAGGGTGGCCGATTAGGGTTAGGGTTTTTGTTGTGTTGTGTATTTGTGCAAGGCCTATAAATCATGTATTTATAGTCCCTTGCATAAAACCCTAACGGGCTTAAGTTGGACCGGGCCCAACAGCTTAAGCTCGTTAGTTCCTTCACTTGCTCGTCTCTCTCAATTCAATGATCGGAAAATCGTAACAATTACATATTCGGATTCATTATAATGTCCTCGTCATTACGAGTGCCATCTTTCATTTTCCAACTTTCCAAAAGTGGAAACCCTAGTTCAGTGCACTTTCTAAATTTGGAAACTTCCCGATTTAGAAAGTTCACTACAACTTTCGCCTATTCTTTTCCTTTTCTTGTTCTCATTCATAATTCCAAATTACGAATGTTGGACCCAATCATATTGACTTCCAATCATGCAAAGATAAACCATTTTATCTCTGACCGTTTATTCAAAGATCTCATGTGCACGAGCAGTGTGACCCTCGATGGTTCAGGTGTAAGCTAGCCGTGGGCCCACAACCCTTTGTGGTCAAAACTCGTCCCCTTAGAGTTACGATTAAGATGAAACTCGTTTCACCTTAATCACCCAACGAATCATGATTGGCGTCTAGCAACTACGCGTCATGATTCCCTAGATACAAATGAAGTGCCTGCAAGAACCTTCAGATATAGTTAACGTACAGTACGGTCCCTTCGATTCATATGTCCCGATCGAACTAGAGGCATTGGTTCATCGAGACCTCTTTATATGTTCGATGACGGTGCGATCGTTCCAAGTGTTGTAATCGTCACGTGCATGACTTAGAGAATCAAATTCTCTAATCATCACTTAGTCAGCTCTGGCCAGAGACTTAGAATGATCACAAACTTTCAGAACACACAGGACATCCAAGACTATTCTAGCGATCGAATCCCCGACTACAATGCACAGACCTCCCACTAGATTTCGGACTGCACGAACACTGGCCCTTGGGAAGGTCCTCGGTGGAACTCAGGGACAGCTCACGATACAGCTGGTCCTCTAGTGAAGTCACGGTGATGTCTAGGTCATAAGGACTAATGGTGTACAACTATACCATAGATATCTCTACTCGATTATTGGGAACCACTTAGAGATTTCTAGGGTGAGGGAGTTCAGTGAACTCGTCAACTTACGAGCACCCACTTATGCATGCCGATATCACAATACCGTTTACTGATGAGATGCAGTACACATACACTAAGTGCTAGTCTTAATGGGAAAGGCCGATATCCTCATTAGTGGCGTAACCCTTCGACTAGGAACACGTTTAACAGTTATAATACTTAAGTAAATATCTCACGATCCTAACGATCAATTACTAGTACTTGTAATAACTGTAAGGACTATATCTATGCTTGTGACAAAGGGACAAAGATATAGAATGCCAATGTGTTTTATCATTAATACGAATAAAGGTTCGTTTATTACAATAATAAATACGAAAGACCACAGCCACAAGTTGGCTTGTTGGTCACCTACTCTAACAAGTAGAAGGAGGCAAGTTATCGTAGAAGTACGGATGCAACACTCGGGTGAGGTCATATATAGCCGGAACTGCAGATGGCTCCGCTCTCTCAACCGGCTCGGTACTAGGATCTACACGGACGTGGGTGTGGTCTAGATACCACGGCAAATACTCCGGATCCGACTCCCAAGCTGGACGCGCCTTCCGACCATAGTAATCTCGACTAAGCATGTGCGTGTGGGGGATACTCCACATCTGATCGCCGGGCTCATAGTTAACCTTGTAAGATGCTATTTTTCTCTCCCTCTTAGCACCTTTTAGCGGACGAATTGGGTCCGCCGGTTTAATCTGCCGAAACCCGAACTGACGCAAAACTCTATCGGGCATATAAGGCTCAACGGTATCCATCCATCGAATAGTCCCGTGATGAACCGTCTTTCCAACTTCAGATGCCACTTCCAATCCAAATGGCGTCCAATTCACCTACATTCATTTAATAATAAGCATAATTAATATAAAATGATGTATCGAATCGAGACGTCTACGATTATATAATACACATAGATACTTACATCTGACGGACGCATCGAATCGAGACGTCTACGATAATCTACAAGTATATCCTCGTCCTTAGGAATATGAT